AAGGCGAAAAAGAGGTAGTATGTGTTATCTACATAATCAAAAAAGGCATATAAGCAATTCAAGGAGACACAGAATATTGTAGAAAATGATCAATACAATGGAAATGCAAAAGAAATCACATCAGCTGTCACCACAAGAAAACATTTACTCACACATTCACATGAACAAAGGACACTGCCAGCCACTTATTATAACAATCCTACACAAGTTTTTGCAGTAGTGGAAGTGTAAAAAAACAAACAACTGGCATATATATGCGTGCAGGAGAAGCATCTGATTTTAAAGGAGATAAGGCATACTTCAGATTAATTTTAATTATTATTATTATACATATCTACATTCTAACCTACCTCCAAAATGAAACTGAGGCTATTGACCAAAAGAAAGAAAGAAAAGTACAAATTATGGTAGCATTTAATAGTGGAAGAATTATATCAAATAAAGTGATAACTAAATTATACAAGTAGCCTGAGAATGGACACTATGTTTATGCATTCAATTTAGATATAACATTGCTAACAAAAATAGTTCTTACTATCCAATAAAATGACCATACCAGTTAATCAGAAAAAAAGTATTACACCACTTCCTTATATAAGGGATGTTTCATACAATACACAGTATTGTACTGCTGCTACTGAAATGTTTAACAAGCATTCCAACCAATTTCATATATAAGCAAATTAAAAGTTACGTCTAGACAATCAGTTAAGGTTTTTACTACTCTTGCATGCACACGCACACACTCAAGTCTGAAGAAAGTTGTTAAATCCTTCTCCCAGTACACCCTCCACCCTCTTCACCACCCCCACTCTCTCCTGAAGAGAGAAGGGAGAAAGCTCAACAGAATAGTATACTATTCAAGTATATTTTTGGAAGATTATGATTTAAATTCAGAAAAAGAAAGATTTATAAGACTTTATTGAAGACAAGCTACAATGAAATGACATTCACACTAAAAGGAAAACAAGATCCAGTATGATCTCAAGCAAAGTCACATAAGCCCACATATCCTTGCATGGGACAGATGGATACCCAGTAAAGGCTCCTGAATGAATGGGTGCGGTAACGGGAGTAGAGAGATAAAAACGACTTCTCCCCAAAAGAGCAAATTTGGAGAACACAAAGAGGCAATCAGCACACCAATGGGAGGAAATGAAGGGAACATGAGCACTGTCTTCTACTGCTTTTTCCATAATGAAGTCAGAAAGAAGTACACTGCACACAACAGGGTGTTCCCCAAACCTTAAGAAATGAAAAGGGAAGTAGTGGGAAAAAAACATTAAGCTATAAAATGGCCTACCTCAAAATTAGTCAGAAAGAATTTGAATTGCACCAGGACACCGGTATGAGGAGGGGGCCACCTGACTGAAGGAAGGGGGAAAGCCTGAAACTTCCAGGGTCTAAAAACCAATGACACAAAATGTGGTAGAATAGGATGCATAAATAAGCATGTATCCAAGAGCAAGGAAGAGCTACACTACTCTTTTAAAAAGGAAAAGCTGACCCAGCCTGACCTTGAGATGAAGTTGCTGTGCACATGTCAACATTCCGAATCCACTGAAGGATGAGATGGAGAACCCGACGTCTCCCAGAAGCAGGTAAGTCAGGTCTTCAGGAAGATAAGGTCACCCAATCTTGTGCAAAAACTCAAGAGATGAGGGGTGAGAGAGGGAAAGAGTTTTGTTCTAACAGAAAGATGTAGAAAAGTGATTAAGAGAACCAGGGTGACTAGGCCAACAGCAGAAGAGTACCTTTCCTGGGGGGCAGGGGGGCGCTCGGGGAGGACTTAAGAGGGGGAAGCAAAAGCTTCCAACCATCTTTGCAGCCAGATGACCCAATAAGGACACTCTTATAAAACTCAGGCGGAATAACCCAACTTTAAACAGTAACCTACACCGAGTCTCCCTAGTGATCCCTCACCACTTTTCCTCCAGTGCCCATGTGTGGAGCGCCAGGGAAGCCTCCCAAAGGCGGTCAGTGACCTAGGGAAGGGCACATAAGGAAGGGATGACTCCCGGGTCCACGCCAGCACACACAGCAGGCATTCAACTCTCGGTTTTACCAAGGCTCACTTATAGCACCCCGAAAAATACACAACTCTATCAAGCTAGTTACAAATAAAGACCAAATAAAAACATTTTTTAAGAAAGCAAGAAGCCTCCCAAAAGAAGATCAAGTCAAACGCACTAGTTTCTGGCAATGGGTATTATGCCAACTAGGCAGCTCAATATAACTGAAAGGCAAACACCAGTGCAGACCTAACCTCTGGGAAAAACACATCTCTTAGCTCAGGAATTCCTAGGGAAGAGTCTCTTTGCTAAAAAAAGTGCTCCAAGTATCCCAAGGCTCCACAGAGCTTGTTAAGGAGAGTGAGCCTCCACCAAGTCTGTCTTAAAGTGAGACCTCACTGCTGAGTGACAATTAAGGGAAAGAGTGAGGGATCCAAAGAGGTGGGGCACCTGACAGGAGCCACAGCCAATGGGGCTCTTGCCATTCCCCAGCCCTGAGAGAACAATCTGAACAAAGCCCTCCCACCTCTTAGGAAGTGGCAACTGCCTTTCCAAATATACCTTCTCCTAATTTCATCACCTCTCTCAATTATTAACTGGCCAAAATACAACCAGAACATCATTTATAGGCATTTTTTCCCGGGGTCTTCCCCTCATCTCCTATCATTTGCTTGAAACCAGGAAAAATTTCACTTTCTCCTGTACTGCAGTCATCTTAGGAAGAACTTTTCTCGCCATGCAGAATCCAGCGAAGAATACTGTGCCTATGCTGTGAAGGCTGAAGTTTGGTTGCTCATTGGCGAACACTCCACACATACTCGGGGACACAGTGAACACTCGGGATATCATTCTGCTTATTCAGTACAATGCAAATGACAAAAGACTGATGAGAATTCAGCATTTATCAATGATGTTTCTAAATCTTCTGAGCCTGAAGGGACCAGCGACTTTAACATATGCCTGAACTCTTGCATGTAACAGTCCTCACACACCCTAAGTGTACAGCTAGTCATCCCTCACTTTTAACTTGCTGTGGATGTAAGGGATGTACTTCATCCGTTTCATTCTGCATGGATACCTATTGGGGGAGGGGGATGGTAATCAACATGGCACAGAGCATCACCATCATCTGTTTTGCTATGGCAAAAATAGAAAGCATTCAAAGTTCCCCTTTGCCTGAAATGTTTGGATCCCACAAGAGACAACACTAGGGCCAAAGGAAGGTTCTAGTACAACAAGGAGCCCACGAGCTACCTCTTCCCGAATGGTACGTGGGCGACATGGGTGTCTACACTCCCTATTCTGGATGGAAAGGCATATGGCTTCTCCCTACCCAGCCAACACGAATACAATTTGAGAAAATTAGAAAAAGTCAAGGTAACAGGCTCACTAAATATGGCTGACTGGGAAACCGGAGCCATAAGGAGGCTATGAGTTCTCTCAAAAAAAAAAAAAAAAGGAAGTTTATTTCCAAGAAAAGGTTCGAAGACTCCTGGGTGTGGGATGTACAAAGTCTGGTTCTTACTGAACAGAAGGACAATGATCAGAGCACCAAAACTCAAGGGCACATGACCCTTTTCCCATTGGGCCAGTGTGGCATACTGAAGGGTGCCCCCTAAGATCCCAATCAACAGAATATACCCTTGTTTTCCTGGGACAAGGGAGGAATTAGTGTAGTCTTCTTTTTTTTCTTCTTTTTTTTTTTAACTCAAGTACCAGGCACAGCGGAAGTCCTGCCCTACATCTCACAGGCGCTCCCACCTTCACCCAGACAGGGAACTCCGAGGACAGAGAGCGTGTCAGGGTAGACAAACCCCTGGGGAAAGGAGCACTGGGACGTCCAGTTACCTCTACGAGAAAAAGAGGGCAACTCAAAGGGTATTCAGGAAATGAGCTCACCCTAACCCAGGAAAGTGTGCGCAGAGTGTACATAATCTGGGAGAAGTGTCTGCTTTCCTATTTAGAAATGACTTCAGAGCTGCACAGGGCCCCACGATCCACTGGGTGAGGGAAAGAACAACACGGGTCGCCCGAGTCCCCTTCTTCTGGCAAAAAAGGGTCAACAGATAAGCGTGCAGAGGCCCCAAAAGATGCCAGGGCAGGGAAGAGGCTGTGGCGGACCCCTGTGCCCAGCGGCGATCGGGGTCACGGAAGGTAAAGGGCACGGGAGTGTGGAGATCCTGACTTGCCCCGGGAACGCGGGACCCCACCCTCCTGGCTGTCAGGGTGCAAGGGCAAGAGTCGGGTGTGAACGGCGGCGAGGGGCGGGTGCTGCGCAGGCCCCCCTTCCGTCCGGGAGGCAGGGGGAGGGGTCACACGAGGCCCGCGGCCAAGGGACGCAGGGCTGGATGGGGTCCCCCTAGTGGGGGACCCGCGTGGGGACCCCCGTCCGCCCTGGGAGGCGCCGCGGGGCCCAAGAGCTACGGAGAGTGCGTCCGGCCCTGCCCGCCGCCCGGACCGAGCAGGCGGCCGGCGAGGGATGAGAGCCGCCACGGCCGCCCGACGGGGACCGACCCGAGCGGCCCGGCCGGGGCAAGGGGGCCCGCGGCGGGTAAACTTTCCGCCCTGCGGGCCCCCCACCCCCGACCCGGGCCGGCCCGGGGGGGCGCCGGGCGCCTCAGGCCCGGGGGCGGCGGGGATGCCCGGTCCGGTGGGGGAGGCGCCGGCCCTCCGCGGCTCCTCCCCCTCCTCCTCGCTGGGCCCGGCCCCCGCCCCGCGTGCCCCCCCCCCCGGCCCCCGGCCCAGCCCGCCCCCGGGGGTGGGGTGCGGGGCGCCGCGCTCGGCCGCCCCGCGAGTCGCCTCAGGACTCGCCGCGCTCCGCCCCCCCCCACGCCGCCGGCCCCCTCCCCGGCCGGGGCGCCCGCCCGCCCGCCCGCCCGCCGCGCCCCCGCGCTCCCGCCCCGCGCCGCCGATGCCCGGGATGTCCGGCGGGGCCGGGTCCCGCCGCCGGCCGCGCCGTCCCCCGGGCCCTCACGCTCCGGCTCTTACCTTCCGGCTTGTTTTCGGCAGCCATTTCCCCTCCGCGCGCCACATCCTCCTCCTCCTCGCGACCGGGACCCCGAGCGCGCGCCTCGTACCGCCGCCGCCGCCGGCCCAGCCACCCCGCCGCCGCCGCGCACCCGCCCTGGCCCCGCCCCGCGGCCCACGCACAGCTTCCGTTGGGCAGCGTAACTGCCACTCGTCGCTCCCGCCGCCAATCGGCCCGCACCAAGGGTCTCACTACTCTCCGGGAGGAGCGTCCTGTCCGTCCAGACCATTGGCTGGTCACCACCCAAAGGACTGAAAGGATTGGTCAAGAGTCAACGCCCCCTCCCCACCCACTCCCAGGAAAGCCCGCCTTCCGGACCTAAACAAAGCTTTCCAGTGGCCAGAGCCCGAAAGGACGGCCAAATCAGGACAGGGCCGACACGGGATATTTCCTCGAGGCCGAGACGTTGCGTTATGATTGGACGTCACTGCAGTGTTTCCCAAGCCGTCCAGACCAATCAAAGGGGGTTCCCGGAACTCGGGAGCGGCGGAGGAAAGCCCCGCCCCCAAGCGTGACCGTCACGAGGAAGGCGCCCGTTCATTGGCGCGTTGGGGCTTTTCCCGCGTGCTCCCGGAGCTGAAGGACGTTCCCGGGGAAAGCCGCTGCCGGCGCGTGGGGTCCCGGTGGCAGTGGAGGACGCGCCGGGATCTCCGGGATCCCTCAGCCTACCGCGTCGGCGGGGAGCGGCCCCGCGAGACGGAGGCGCCGAGGTGCACCGGGCCGCCGCGCTCCGGAGCCGGTAGCCCGGGCGTCGCTGCCCGCCGCGGGGGGGGAAGGGCGCGCGCGTCCCGCCAAGCCCCGCCCTTCCCCCCTCCCCCCCCCCCGTCACCGAGCCCCGCCCCTCCGGCCCGCCGCCGGAGGCGCGGCCCGCCGCCGCCGCCGCCGCCGCCGCCGCCGCCCCCGGCGTGCTCCGCTGTCCCCTTTTTCTAGAAGCTTAAAATACTGAAACTTTATTTTGGTCACGTTGCCCACGTGACCGGCGGAGGCGATGAGTCACGGACCCTCGTCCCGGGATGCGGCCGCCGGACGGAGCCTTGGACCTCGGTGCGGCGGGGCTGGCTTCCCCTGCCGCCCGCGCGGCCGTGCCGTCTCGCGGAGGTCCCTCCGAGGCCGGTGTCGAGGGGAGAGGGAGATCCCGGGGGCCCAGGGCAGAGCGACGCCACTGCGGCGTCTGCAGACGCGGCCTCGGCCGGAGGTGCCCCCCCACGCCCGCCCCCCGGGCTGACAGCCCCGGGCCTGCCCGCCCTGCCCGGGTGCCGGGCGCTGCACCGCCGGCCCAGAAAACGCCCCTCTCCAGAGAAATTGAGTCATTCTGCACGTGGGCAGGTAATACCAGAAACAAAGGAGGACTGCCATCTCCACTTTCAGGGAAATATAGATATGCATATATACGTGTGTGTGTGTGTGTGTGCAACCCCAAAGTTAGGACCAAAAAAAGTAAAGTTGAATGAAAAGCAGTGCTCTAAACCCGTTTCTGTCGTCTTGCACGGTTTGCAGCGAACATGTTCTATTCCTTTTCCTTCCCCCCTTTTCTGTTACTGACAACTAGCACAACCAGTGAAAAGTAGATGTTCAACTGTTTTGGCATCAAAATTGACTGTCAATGTGAAATTTGTGCCAGCCCTAACAACATGTGTTCTTTTTCTGATCTTCACTGGTGAGAGTTTCTAAGGTTCCCTACCCCACCCCCCAGAAATAAAGATGTCCCAAAAGAATGTTTTGTGTTGTACACCCATTCAACAAACTTTAATATTATGAGCCTCCAAAAAATGCAAAATCTTAACAACTAGGGTACAATATTTTATCGATTAACATTCTTAATAGCACCAGTGTTGACGATTTGTGTGCAGAATCATTCTGGAAAGTGCTGGTGGCATTGTAAATTAGTATAACCCTTTTGAAAAGCAATTTTACAGTATGTATTAAAAGCCATAAAAATGTCTGCATTTTTTGACCCAGTAATCTTACTTCTGGGAATCTATTCTAAGGAAATAACACTAAATGCCCAAAGTACTTGGTGTGTGAAGGTATTCTTCACAGGATCACTGTATCTGTTACAGCAAAAGAATTTTGGAATGTAGTAATACTGGATATTTCCTAAGAAAAACTATGGTATAGCCACACAGTGGAACATTATTCTAGGCATAGACAGCAGAAACAGAAAGAAAAGCTAGAGATAGGGAAAATTCTCAAAATTACAGCATTCGTTTATAAAATATTATCTGATGGCAAATAAAGAAAATGGTTTTCTGTAAGAACACTGATATGAAATACACCTAAGAAATGATATTCGGAGGTAGGTGATGTTGGCTCATGCTTTTATTGCTAGCCAGCAAGGAGGCTGAGACCCAGAGGATCTCAATTTGAGGCCAGCCCAGGCAGAAAATAACCAGCAAAAGGCCAGGCACTGGTGGCTCACACCTGTAATCCTAGCTATGCAGGAGGCTGAGATCTGAGGATTGCCGTTCAAAGCCAGCCTGGGTAGGAAAGTCCGTGAAACTCTTATCTCCAATAAACCACCAGAAAACTAGAAGTGGTGCTGTAGCTCAAGTGGTAGCTCACCTTGAGCTGAAGGGCTGAGGAATAGAACCCAGGTCCATTCAAGCCCTACAACTGACAAAAAAAAAATAAGACATGGCTCAAATGGTAGAGCACCAGCCAAATAAACACAGGAAAGGAAAAATAAGCCGGCGAAGGTGGCTCACACCTGTAATCCTGGCTACTCAGGAGGCTGAGATCTTAGGATCACAGTTCAAAGCCAGCTCAGGCAGGAAAGTCTGAGACACTTACCTCCAATTAACTGTAAGAAAACCAGGAGTGGCGCTGTGGCTCAAGTGGTAGAGCACTCACCTTGAGCTGAAGAGCTCAGGGACAGCACCCAGACCCAGAGTTCAAGTTCCACAACCAAAAAAAAAAAAAAAAAAAGGAAAGATAATTCTTGGGTGTTTAGGAGTATTTTTTCCTCATTCTCTTGTCTATAGCCATAATAAAGCTTCGTTATTAATTAATACAAACATTTAAGAAATAAATTTGCCAGACATGAATGGCTCAGGCCTGAAAGTCACGTGACTCGTCTTCAATTAGCCACAAATGCAGAAAGTTGAACTGCAACTGAAGTGGTAGAGGTCTAGCCTTGAGCACAAAAGCTCAAGAATGTCGGGGGCCAGTGGCTCACATCTGTAAGCCTAACTACTCAGGAGGCTGAGAGCTGAGGATTGTGATTCAAAGCCAGGCCAGGTAGGAAAGTGTGGGAGACTTACCTCCAATTAACCATCAGAAGTGGTGCTGTGGCTCACAGTAGTAGAGCACAGTCCTTAAGCAAAAAAGCTCAGAGACAACACCCAGGCTCAAAGCTCAAGCCCCAAAACTGGCAAAATAATCATTTTTAGTCAAGCATAATGATATATCCTGCAGTCCCAGCTACTCAGGAGTCTTAAGGCAGGAGGATCACTTGAACCTAGCAGTCTAGACCAGGCCAGACAACATAAGAAGACTTTGTTAAAAATAAATAAAGTGTTCAGCCTGGCGCCAGTGGCTCATGCCTGTAATCCTAGCTATTCAGGAGGCAGAGATCTGAGGATTGCAGTTCAAAGCCAGCCCAGGCAGGAAAATTTGAGAAAGACTTATCTCCAATGAACCACCAGAAAACTGGAAGTGGCACTGTGGCTCCTGTGGTAGAGCACTAGCCTTGAGCTGAAAAGCTGAGGGACAGCGCCCAGGCCCAGAGTTCAAGCCCCACAACTGACAAAAAAAAAAAAGGTCATAATTTTATCTGCTGCCTACTGCGGACCAGGTGCAGTGCTCAATTCTGACTACCACAACGAATAATGCTAATGGTCTCCCTTCAAGGCGCTCACAGACTAAAGCAGAGAAGGGCAGGTATGGTGGGGGTGGGAAGTGTAGGAGGACGTGATGAAGGTTATCTGGACCTCCAGAAAGTGTCACGCCTGCCACAGCCTGGGACCCAGGCCGTGCTGTGGTTTTCCAAGCACAGCCTGGGAACCTCAGTGAGCCTCAGGGGTCTCCAGAACTCTGGGAGGGGACATACAAGATAAAAAGTGCTTTTCAGAAGGCTCCCTCCCGCTCACATGCCAGTGGAATTCTACAGAGGCAGCGCAGCGCGCGACGTGGGACTGCTGGGAACTGAAGCTGGGGCAGGTGTGAGGATCAGCCATCACCTAGAAGGCAGATGTGAAACTTGCAAAATGAAAACGAAACTGAAACCACTCACTGCTAATTTTTAGTTATTTTTTAAAGTATGGTTTACATTACCTGTGATGGGTTTATTATTTTTTAATGAACTGCTGGCTGTTCTTGAATTTTGAATACAGTGCCTAACTGTAGCTAAACAAACTCACAGAAGCCAAATTCCTTTGAGGATCCTAAATAATTTTTAAGTATAGTTTGAGAATCCTTGGGCTAGAGAAAGAGATGTTTGGGGGCTGGTTGGTGGGTGTTGTGTGTTGGTTCAAGAAGGTAGCCAGGCATTTTAATTTAAAAAAAAAAAAAACACCTAAAGTGCTTTTTTAAAAAAAAAAAGTAAATATTTTAAAGAAAGCTGTTATACAGACTGGAGCATAACTTAAGTGGTACAGAGCCTGCCTAGCAAGCACAATATTCAGCACCATCAAAAAGAGACGAGGAGCCGGGCACCAGTGGCTCACACCTGTACTCCTAGCTACTCAGGAGGCTGAGATCTGAGGATCATAGCAGGAAATCCAGCCAGAGCAGGAAAGCCCCTGAGACTTATCTCCAATAAACTGCTCAGAAAAAGAAGTGGCACCATGGCTCAAGTGGTAGAGTAGTAGCCTTGAACACAGAGGCTCAGGGACAGAGCCCAGGCCCTGAGTTCAAGCCCCAGGACCTGGGAAGGAGGCGGAGGGGGAGAGCCGGGTGCCAGTCACTGAGATCTAAGGATCATGGTTCAAAGCCAGCCCAGGCAAGAAAGCCCATGAGACTGTTTATCTCTGTTTAATTGCCAGAAAGTCAGAAGTGGAGCTTGGCTCAAGTAGAGCAGTAGCATAGAGGGAAAAAAGAAAAAAACAC